ATAATGGATATATCAATGTATTCAAATATTGACTTGCCACGCTTATCTAAACCAAATATTATCGCATGCTTCTTCAAATTCAGAGTAACGGAGATATAATACATTTCCTACCCTGATTTCGTGACTGAAATAGATGTACATTACGCAATGTACATAGCCCTTGTTACTTTTTATCGGAAACCAAAGTTCAGTTTATTAATATACTCTTTGCATTTAGACAACTAATATGACACCTTAAATAAAAACTGCAATATGGCACCTCAAATAAAATACTGCAATATGGCACCCTCAAATAAAATACTGCAATATGACAACTTCAGTAAAAAATGCTTTTATAAGCCATGGAACTCAAGAATACTTACTGCAATTTGGCAACTCTAACGTAGTTGACGGCTGACCGCCGCCGACGACCAAGTGTGCTTCTCATTGTTGCAGGTCACACGCAGCCTCCAGTGATAGGTCACAGTGTCATTTATCTCCCAATAGGCCCGTAACCGCTGGCACATTTGAACTGCGGGAAAGGTTGCTTTAGCGCAACTGGTTCTCTACCCTTGCACTCTGGCGTAACGCTAGAATATACTATATTGCTGTGATAACACTAGCTATTATATGTACAAAAGTTATCATATCTCCTTGAAAAAAAATCTACTACATGAAAACTTAGTAAGCTCTAATTAATGGGAAACTTAAGGTTAGATTAACTTGGTTCAGCTTTCTACATTTGTCCTACATCTTACCAAGATTTCAGACTAAGGCAGGGATTGAAGGACAAGACACACACATCTGCAAAACTCTTAAGCGGCACACTTGGGAGGCAACAAGGCACCGCGAATGTCGAGCCGCGCAGGTTGAGGACCACCGGGTTAGTGAGGCGACTGGGAGAGGTTGACATGGGGGGGGGGAGAGAGGGGATGAGGATGGCAAGGAGGAAGGATGTGTGGTTCATGAGTTGGTCGCTTCGTCAGAACAGCGGGATTTTGATGTAGGTTTGCTTTGCAATATAAGTTTCATTCATACATTATATTCTGAGTGGGATGTTGGTGCACGCTCACACGCGCACGCGCAAGTTAATCAAACTGTAACGCGAACACCTTAGGAATTTTACATTGTACTGAATGAAGAATAAACTTATTAGTACATTCATTGACAAAAATTACAAAATAACAATAATAATAATAATGATAAAGTAATATCTATATGTCAATAACAGCAATAAAATTAATAATAATAATAATAACTATAATAACAACAGCAACATAAAGATAACATCCCAATCATAATTACTGTTATTGTTATTGCTATTTCTTATCATCATTATCATCTTTATTCGAACCATCGCCTACATCATTACAGTTATTATCATTATTACTATTGCAAATATTACCATAATGTATCCAAGCCACTGACCCTTTTCCCCAACAAATGACAATGCCCTCAATAATATTCTTCTTTTTTCGCTGTAAACAAACCACACTAATCAGACAACAATAGATACAAAAAATAATCCCAATCAAAAACCGACTAACCAATCTCTATCCTTTTTTGGTATAAAATGGAGCACGAATCACCGAACCGAACACACCACAGAACGAGGACCTGCACGGTTGCACCCGAGCTCTATTCTGTTCTATTCTTCCAGCCTTTTTAAAATCCGTTGTTGGACGCAGGCCTTCCCCAGACTATTTCCACATCGGTCTGTCTCCAGCCTTCCGGTACCAATGCTTTTTGAAACTCGATGACTGAACGGGAACGGCCTTAATGTTGCTTGAGACGTGTATCATGTTGGGGAGAAGGAGGGCCATGCGCCACCTCGCTGGCCCAGTACGGATTGGTAGGGGTTCGTATAAACGCCTTTTTGCGACACAAAGTCACATACGTTGGAAGTATTCTTTCCACGTCCTCCTATCCACAGGGAAAACTCAAGGCCCATGCAAGTATACAATGGAGACCTCGCCTGCACTCACCTCGGCGACGACCGGTGACACTCCCGCTTGCTTGCATTCCCCGCGGCAGTTCTCCTGGCACTCGAACAGGTCGATGATCATGTTCTCGTCCACCAGGGGGATGGCTGGGCAGCCCTGGTCGTCCACTGATGTAAATGATTAACATATGATACATCTAAATATCCACTGGTAAAGAAAGTAATAACAAGGCGGTCTTCCATTTCATCACTCTTAAATAAAGGTGATGTCTAGCGCTTTATGCCTTGTTCCTTACTTTATCTGTTTCAGTTACATACAATCATAAGAATAACGATGTAGAGGGAGAAAGAGAGAGAATGAGAGAGAGAGAGAGAGAGAGANTTCCCAAATCGCACCAGGTTATGGGTGTGTGTGTGTTCTATTCTAATCTTCAGCCTTTTTAACAATCGTTGTTGGACATAGGGCCTTCCCAGGCCTTTTCTAGCTCGTTTGTATCCCCTGCCTTCGGCGATGCCAATGCTTTTGAGACTCACTGACTCAACAGGGGCGGCCTTAATGATGTTTGAGACGTGTGTCAT